AAAAATAAAATATTATTATTTATGTAAGGTTAATTAAAAGAAAAATAATTAAATAATATGTAAATGGGTATGGTAGTGGGATGATGTCACACTAGAATTTCTTTTTGAGTAATTTATTAAGAGGGATTTAAATGGAAGTTGAATAGAGGGGTAGGGAGTGTAGTGGAAAGAAATAATGCCTAGGGACTGACATGGAAGTTTGAAAAAGGATTAGGAATTTTTAAAGAAGTGTCCCTTAAATTTCCATCTTTTTTCGTTTAGCTCTTGTTTTGCTTGCTTACTTTCGATTGCTCTAATTTTCTAGTCCTCTTTAGTTCAATATCAACTCAAACCCATTGATTAGAATGTTTAGGCCCTTGTTTTCTCGTTTTGTGATTTTGACGAATAGATAGTGAGCAAAGCTCCGAACAACCTTTCTTCGAGAAGACGACCCGAGTGAGATCTTTCGATCATACTCGGCTAAATATTATAAAACACCATGCCAAAGGAATGACTTTGAGCGAGTCATTCAAAGTTGCGTTTGTGATTAAGAAGATATCGTCGGGTTAGAAAGACTTTAAGAAATACTTCAAGCATAAGAGGAAGAAAGTGAGTCTTGGAGACATAATTATTAGTCTTCGAATTGAGAAAGACAACCATAAGTCTTCAAGGAAAGTCTCAATGGTGGAAGCTCGTGCTAATTGGGTAGGGCAAGACAACTCGAGCAAGAAGAAACACTTTAACAAAGCGAAGCAGCCTACCAATGTTTGAATATTTACATGGAACTATCACAATTGTGGAAAGTCGAACCGCATGGGGAAAGACTGCAAGACATCTATGACGGCTGGGTCGAAAAGGATGCAGCCGAGTGCGCACTTTACTAAATATGGCCCACGGAATTGGTACATTGATGGCTCAAATTAAGTGCCCTTCCCTTCACTCGTTCTCCTGTTTTCTCCACAATTACGTCATTTATCGCGCTCACTATATCATCTACCTTACACGCCTCACCATTCCCCTTTCTCTCGACCTCCACACAAAAACTGACATCCACCATAATCCTAGCATTTATGAAATTCATCGACAAACAAGTGCACAAAGATTAAGTTGAAATATATGTGTAATAATGCTCGTTTGTGATAATGGTTGATTGTGAGCCAGTTTCTCAAGAAAGTGAAGTAGATGCAGAGAAGGCAACACTATATAAAAAAATAGAAACACGACTATATACATCATCAAAGTTGGGAAAGTCGCTAGATGGGCGGTCAGGTAGGGCCCTGTTTGTAACATGGAGTTGAAGTTCTTCAACCCAGTCCAAATTGATCAATCTGAATCAAGGGATCGCACTTTGAATAGAGAATCAAAGCCCAACATACACGTACCCAGCATAAAATTAACCTAATAAAAGATATAGTACAACTTTGGAAGCCCCTCCAACTTCACTCACTCCTTTTGAACTTTAGCTTGTAAACAAAGCTCCCACAACAACTCACTCGTTGCATCCATCTCCACCTCCTCCTCCGCCTTCATCTTCTCGCTCAGCTCAAGTGCCTTTCCCCTCAGCCGTTCTCCCGTTTTCTCCACAATCACTTCATTTATCGCGTTCGCTATCTCGTCTCCCTTATACGCCTCACCATTCCCTTTCCTCTCGACCTCCACACAAACACCGGCATCCACCATCATCTTAACATCTATGAACATGATGAGCTTCATCGGCATGCCTATGACGGGAACCCCATAGTACACGCTCTCGGTTAACGAGCTCCACCCGCAGTGGCTCACGAACCCGCCCGTGCTACGGTGCGCTAGGACATCGGCCTGAGGGGCCCACCCGGGCACGACCAGCCCCCTGTCTCCCACCCTCCCGAGGAACCCTTCCGGAAGGGCCTCCTCCAGGGGAACCGACCCCCCGGCAGGGAACCTAATCACCCACACGAAGCTTGCGCGGCAAGCCTCGAGCCCCCTCGCTATCTCCGCTATCTCTTCCTTGGACGGGAAGCACTCGCTGCCGAACGAGACGTACACGGTCGAGCGCGGGCCTTTCCCGTCGAGCCACCGCAGAATCTCCGAGCTTCCCGAGCCATCGCGGATGGCGGCAAGCGGGCCCACGGCCAGCAGTTTCTTGCGGAAGGCCCCCGAGAGGTAGTCGATGTACTTACCCTCCAACGCCCGGCACGTCTTCAGCAGGACAACATCGGACGACAGCTCGAAGTTGATGAAAGAGTCCCGGTCCTCGAAAAAGATGTTGTCCTTTAGAAACTCGGTGAACGAGTCCATGCTCTCCTTCGCGTGGTCGGCCAGATGGAGTTCCGGGAAAGGAAAGCTCTGTTCCGTGGAGTGGTAGTGGTGGTAGACGTAGGATGTGGTGGCCATCCCAAGGGGGCGGAAATGGACGGCCGGGATGTTCTTGGACGAAGCAATTCTGGCGGCCCACGGTTGGAAAGCGTCGTAGATGACGAGGTCGGGATTTAGGGTGCCGACAATGTCTGAAAAGTCGGGTTCCGATGTCTGAAACTGTTTGAGAAGAGCGGGGACGAGGTTGGAGGGAAGATTTTTGGTGGTTTGGTGGTGCGGGGGAAGCTCCGGCGATGGCTGCAAATGGAGCTGCACCAAGTCTATGGAGTGTTGAAGTGAGTTTTTGAGAATGAAGTCTTGGATTGAGGGGAAATTGACGGCGGTTGTGCACATGTGAATGTGGAAGTTTTTTCTGGTGAGGAGTCTTTTGGCTAGCTCGAGATATGGGAATATATGGCCATGAGCCAGCCATGGGAACATGAGGATTTTTAAAATGACTCTGTTTGAATCCATTCTTGGCGAGAGATCTTGATGCAAGCTTTGCATTTTTTGAGTTCTTTTTTTTTTATTTTATTTTTAATCATGTTTCTCAAAAGCTGAATGGGATTTATTTGCTTTGTTGTAGTAGGATATGAGATGAGCGGTGGTGAGTGGGAAACTGGGAATGTGGCCCACTTGGAACATGGTCTTGTTGGCTTGTAGCTTTCTCATGACACACATTGAAGAAAAAATATCTATTTTGAAAGAGAAGTGATATATGTACATAATATTGTACATATGAATGTATTTAACACTCACGTTGATGAGTGGGACCGACAAAAAATAATCAAGAGATTTTTTTCATAATATTAAAAAACTTTGATGTAGCAATTGTCAAAAAAGTAAATCTCTGCTATAATCGAGAGATTTTTCTATGTAATTTATTTAGCATACTATGGAAGGAAAATATATTTTACAAACATTTCAATGAAAAGATAAAAGATTAAAAACTAAACATGGTTGAAAATAATATATAAATAAATCACATGTTGAAATCCCAACGAGGGTTAATATTTTTAATTTTGTTAACTAATTATTAATAAAATTATGTAATGTATCTGATCATTATCTCGTAGATGGCAAATTTTATTAATTAGAAAAATTATTTTTTTAAGTATAGTTAAATAAAGCCAAAGAAAAAATTATGTTGACAAAAATTAATTTACCAACTTGATTTCTACTAAGTAATTGAAAGGAAAAGATTTACCTAACCTGTTAGGATTTTTCATAAATATTATAGGATAGAAAATTAATATTTGTAAAAAAAAATAATAATAATATGGTTAGAAGTTAAAATTTGTTATTGTTATAGAACTAGGGGGAAAGAGAAAAGAAAATGTATTCTCTTGGCATAATTTTTATTGTAACTGAAACTCTTACTTATAGGAAAACTTCTGAAGACACAATCGTAATAATATAATTACAGCAAGGGAAAAATAGTTATTCACATATATGGATATTAATTTGATAGTTGAACCTACCGAATGCATAAACTCATAACACTCCCCCTTGAATGACTATTTTCTAAATATGTGTAAACTAGTTTGAAGAGGAAAAAATGAGAACATCTTGTAGTGTAGATTGTGGTCATCAGACACTGTCTCATGCATGTCAGAAAAACCCGGTGGGGCAAAACCTGAGCATTGTTGAAGCATAAACTTGCTCCCCCTCGAATCGATCATCCTTAGTGGAGCATTTATGTAATGACTTATTAAAACCTTATCAAGAAAACCCAGTGGGACAAAATTGATGGAAGAAAAAAATACTACAACTACTCCATTTTTCTCTTATCATCGTCAGGAATTTATCTTGTAGTCCTCATTATCGTGTCATCTTAGATCATCTCTAATGGTATATTGTCCATTTGAGATGTATAACATGGAGAAAGAAAATTACAAAATTTTGTCCCCAATGGTTAACATCAACTCTTGTATAATTTGACATGTGATAATTGGTTGAAGATGATAAATATATTTAATGTATTATATTTTATACAATAGAAGTACTTCTATGTCTAGAAAGACTTCTTGATATTTTCAATGTCACATAGGATTTTTTATGCCACATGAAATAAAAAAGAGCAATCCATTGGACCATACGAGATGTTCCTAGGATGAACTCAATATCTATTATCTTGCCTCTATGCCTCATTAAAATCTTATTAGGAAAAACTCGGTGGAACAAAATCCTAATGAAGGTTCATATGAATACCATGTTGTCTCATTAAAAATCTTGTTGGGAAAACCCATTGAGACAAAACTCAACAAAGAAAAAAAGAGTATAATGCGTATTTCATATATCATTCAGGTTTTCTGATACTGATAATATAATATGTCATATCATGCTTTGTGCAACTTTTAGCCTTAAACTCGTTCTCATTATCAGTGGGTTTCATTGGTCTTAGTGTCAATGGTTTTCAATATCATTCAGGTTTTCAAATACTGATAATATAATATGTCATATCATACTTTATGCAACTTTTAGCCTTAAATCCATTCTCATTATTTTTGGATTTCATTGGTCTTAGTGTCAATGGTTTCAATATTCGCATTTTTCGTTGATTTCAGTCTGGTCAATGTCGCTTATGACGTTATTCATTTGTTTATGTCAACACTTATCCATTTCACTATTCCCCAAATTAACGTAATGTATTGTGACATCTCATTATCAATTGATTGAATAAAATTTTCATGTCTACATTCTTTCCATCATGGTTCAAAAAATCGGACCAGGCCAATAGGTTCAACTGGTCGACCGGGAAACCGGCTTGAGATATGGAACCACCTGGCCCAAAACCAGAGATATCTCATTATCTTGATTGAATACAATTTTCCTGTCTACATGCTTTTCATCATGGTTCACAAAGTCGGACTAGATCGGTCGGTTAAACCGGTTGGACCGGGAAACCGACTTGAGATATGGAACCATCTGGGCCCATAACCGAATGCAAACTGCTCGAACTGGTCAAATATCGGCAAACCAAACAACCAGAACCGGTTTTGTGGCCCAACCGATATAATCTTATATTTTGCAAAAGTTATCACTTAAACAGAAGACAATTTTTCATTGTGCTTTCCAAATGGGATATACAACTAATAGATTAGATGTGCTTTTCTTTTATTAGCTTTTTAGTTTGGACTTTGACTTAAAAGATTAGCTTGGACTTGGGCCTATAAATACTAATTTAGTAATTCCACAAATTGTGCAGGAAATTTGTAGTTTGTAGTCACAACCCTTATCTAATTAAAAAGGGAAATTTTTATCTTACAACATTTTAAAAATATTACAAAATACAATCTATAAACAAATAATTACATCTCTACCTAATAGATAATATATAACTACATTAATGCCTAAAGTCAGTTACCATATCCTTGCAACTTCCATCCCCCTTTTTATGCGTTTGATTAAGAGAGAGAAAAAAAAAACATGCATATAATATATAACTAATTCCTTAATTCGCTCAGCTTTCACGCAGCTGTCCAGGTGGGTATATGTTGTGTTTATATTAGTATATATTCAGTATATATTCGCAGCTTTTACGCAGTTGTCCAAGTGGGTATATGTTGTGTTTATGTTAGTATATATTTCAGTATATGTCGCAATGAAAAACATGTCTTCCATAAAAAAAAAAAAGTATGTTTTCTTGTTTGTTTTTTTTTTTTAAAGTTTAACATTCATTGAAATGTACGTCTTCCATAAAAAGTTTATGTCTTCTTGTTTGATTTTTTTAAGTTTAACATTCATTGAAATGTACGTGAATTGATAATTTTTTATTAATGATATATGTGATATTTTTTATTAATGGTATATGTGTTATTGGTATATTAAAGGTATATGTTTTTTTACGTATTGTTTATTTTACTTTTATTCTTTGTAAACAGTATTACTAAAAAATAAACTATACATATACACAACAGATCCATAAAATAAAAAAAAACATATAAGAATATATATATATATATATATATATATATATATATAATTTATAAACATATTACAAGTTACTTATATTCAGTAAATGTTGCAATAATCTTCTAATATACAAAAACAACAAATTACTCCTTTGCCAATTTCTTTCAACAAAAAAATCTGCTAATATACCACACATAAACTATGAATAAACTTAAAAAAAAAAAAACATCCATTCACAAAATAATTTGTACATAAATCAATATACCAAACATAAACTAAGATGTACAAAAACCTGGCACCAACTTCAACGAATGTCCGATTTCCCACTATGCATACTCAAAAATCATTATTACGGCAAAATCAAGGACTATTGTTGATGCAAACATCCCTTCATTTTCCATTCAATTTTTTTCAACCCACGTCATAAAATCCTAAAAACTACATAAACTTCAAATAATGTAGAATTTGTCGTACTTAATACACCACCACCAAAACCAGAATTACAGTATAATCAAGCCTAATTTGCCACACTCCATACAATACAACAACTCGAAAACTAGTATAATCAAGCCCGATTTTCCCTTACCACTGCCGCCCAGTGAACCCTCATCCAACGCAACCACCCACACACATACTCCAAACCCTCCGAGTTGGATCCACCACCAATGTCATCTCCACCGCCTCCATTACCCCTACCCTCAATCGGGGCATGTTGCTTCGAAAACCCGATTTATTGTTGTACCAATTTTCTCTTCATTTTTTGATTCTTCCTGGCAATTCGCGATTTCTTACGATTATCTGGAAAATCGCCCTGCGATTTACTCTCCCTGCTACGAGGATGTTCTTCCTTGCTTTTATTTTTGGCATTATTGGAGCTTTGAAATGAGATGATTTTGTTAAAAACTAGGTTTTTCTGTTTCTTCGATTGGAAGAGTATGTTAGGGCATCTGCATCCCTTAATAACAAATTCATTCATTCAATCAAAAAGTAACACTCTCTATCATCCACATCATCTTCGCATCATCTTTCCACTAAATCTCTCTTCATTTAAACAAACACCCACATTCCTACACATTCATTTAAATACATATGTAGGACCCATTATCCACTCATTCAATACAATTTTTTATATTCTATTCTAAATAAAAATATATTTTAATATTTTTACATTATAATGTTAAATTTTAAATGAACGAAAATAAAAAAAAAACACTACAATATCAAAATAACTTAAATTAAGATTACACAAGAAAAAATACAATTACAAAAAATATTGAAAAGTGATATAGATAAAAAATACATAAAATGTAAAAATAAAAAGAAAAATGAGTAAATAAATAAATAGTAAACAAATAAAAAGAAAAAAGAGGAAATAAATAAAAAAACAAATAAAACACTAAAAAAAAAAAAGAAACAAAGCATGTGCATGAAAAAAAAAAGAAAAAAAAACAGCTGAACGCGTTCATTCAGCTGAACGCAAGAGTGGGTCCCCCTCTAAATGAACATCCCGCATTGCTTGAACGGAGAGAGGAGGCGTTTAAACACACAAAAAAACAGAGATGCGGATGCTCTTAGAGAAATGTGTGAGGAAT